GGTAAAAGCTGGTAGCCGGGCACAGGTATAAGTCTGTTATGCGTAGATAGCTTGAGCCACGTCTCACTAAGTATGATCACGCCATAGCCGTGCTGCGCGATGTCGTGTCGCAGTTCCAGCAGCTTGGGTTTCATCCGATTGTACATTGAGTTTGGCAATGTACAGCTGGCCAGGTCGTGCTTGAACCCTCCAGATCCGTCCGCCCCTGGATCCCCGCCGACGGCCGCGCACCCCTCCCCGGGCGGGCCTGGGTGCGCCTCTGGTCGCGACGGCCGGCCGGCCAGGCGGGGGCGCGGCCTCAGGCAGGGTCGCCGGCCGCGTGTAAGCCGGCCACCCGGCGGTAGCGCGGCGGGGTCGGGCAGGTCGGGTGGCCGCTACTCGCTCGGTCAGCTGATCGTGCTCCGCTGAGCCCGCACCGCCTGCGGCTGCGGTGGGTGAGGTACGTGTCGGGGCCGGGGCCGGCGCAGCGGCGAGCACCAGCAGGCGAAAGACCGCTAGCACTATCAGGCAGCGTAACAGTTCAGGACACGTGCTGACTGCAGCGTCACGTCTTCACTCGAGGTCTGGATGACTGCCGAGCATCGCACACACGGACAGTAAGGGCCGCGGCACGCCTGCAGCTCGGGACGATGAGCTCACCGCCCCGCCGATCACTGCCGGCCAGCGCCGCCACGCACCCGTCGCCGGTCACGTCGCCCGTGGAGATGGCTCAAGTGTCACTTTCACCCATGCACACTCGTTCAAATCACCCTGATGCACGCACAATCAGAAGCACTCGTTCGGATGAGGCCACAAGCACTCAGCCGGTTGGTCCGTGTGTAACACTAGACACTGGAGCCGGCGGACACCGGAGCAGGAGCGGTCTTTCGCGCGCGTCCGGCCTCTGGCGCCGCGCAGCGGAGACTGAGATTCATATTCGCGTTTGCTGAAAGTGCCGTCGCATACCATTCAGTCGCTAACGCATCAAATCCAACTCTGAAAACAGTAACGTGCTTTTTACAGGACGTTAGGCATATGTGCCTTTGGCAGCTTGAGTTTTGAATGACTTTTAAAACAGCTTCCAGGTATTTAAATATACAAAACATTTTCGCGCACTACGCCGTCAAAAATTCATGGAATTTCAATATGAAAACGGCCATGTGCTCGCCATGACGTCAGGTGTGTACCCCTTTGTCAACCTGACTGATTAATGTCACCGCAGTCGGTATGCATCAATATAAAACATTTTGCACTTTTATAGTTTCCGAATACCTAGATCCGTGCATCTATAATATGCCCTACATATTTGCCGAAACAATTTGAGGTCGTAAAGGTCGAATTCGCGGTACGCACAGGCTCTACGTAAATACAATATTGAATAGGCACATGCATAATTAATTGGCAAAAACCACAGCAGCACATGTACTCATTGTCACAGCCTATATCTTGCACTTCCTACAAGCCAACCTCTGGAGAGCCTGTGTCAGGGCCAAATGACAGGCGCCATTATTGTGATTGGCTGTCATTTAAACACACGGTTATCAATGCAACACGTATCTGATGCAGAGATGTAGGTGGTGTAGTATCTAATGCAGGTGTAGGTGGTGTAGTATCTGATACAGAGGTGTAGGTGGTGTAGTATCTGATGCAGAGGTGTAGGTGGTGTAGTATCTAATGCAGAGGTGTAGGTGGTGTAGTGTCTAATGCAGAGGTGTAGATGGTGTAGTATCTGATGCAGAGGTGTAGGTGGTGTAGTATGTAATGCAGAAGTGCAGCAATACATGTTACGAGGGCGTGACGTAACAGGGAAAAGGCACATGTCGTTGATTTCCAGTTGCAGTCAAACGCGGCCCGCCGATCTGTTTTCCTGAGAGTGATGCAATCCAGAAGTCTTGATCGCATCACTTTACATCCATTTCTCGATTCAGTACTGCATCGGGAAATGGCTGTCAACATCCGCCACAGAGGTGGCCGTTGCTGCGAAAGGCGAGGGCTGCTGTAGTGCCTGGCGCGGCTGGTCTGTGATCAAGGGCATATGTGTGCATGTGAATGCACACAATGCCGGCATGTGCAGTGCCTGATCATACCAAGTTTAAATATTTCACGTGTTTTTTATCACGCATATAGAACAAACATCATGCGCTGATTGCCACACAGATCCGGTACATAATACAGACAAAACTACTGCTTTTGTGGGATGTGGTCGGGAGCTTAAGAAAAGTGAAACAAAACGTGCTGTCTTGCCGCAATCAGACCTTTACCAACGTGCATCAGAGCTACTGCTTCGTCTTGAGTGCTGTTGATTGCTGCGGACAATAAAGGAGGTAGTTCTTTTTGAAACGCATGTTGTGTCCAGAAACTGCACGTAGCGGATAGGTAATATGATCGTGACCGTATGGACAACGCGCGGGGCGTTAAATGTAAGGTGCAGGCACATCTTCTATCTCACGTACATCGGGGCGCTCCATATGCCGCACTCAAACGCTCAGCGTGGTCAACAGACTGCGGGATCGTCTGTTGACCGCGGTCAGCCCACATGTGCGACCACTCAGTGTGCCTACGTTGTCCTAACGTGGTAAATAGATGGGTGGGATCATACGGTGCCCTCGTTGACACCACGTGAGTTGGAGATGAGCAGCCCCAGATGGCGCTCCTGTGGACATTACGTGGTTTAAAGAAACGTGAGCCCATATGGTACCCACAGTGCAAACCGCGGTCAGCCCCATGTGAACACCATGATGGTCACCCAAATTGTTCTCACATGGAAATAAGCAGGCTGCGCATGTGGGTCCGCCTTGGTCATCATATGTCAGGACTGGTTTGGCATCTTCTAGAAAGGACAGGATAGTGACCGTGGCGCATGGATTGACGAAGATTTCGTGGGATCAGCCCTGTAGACTCGGAGCATGGACCTATCTCAGGCAATTTTGGCACCTCGGGAAGCTTTAGGTGACCTATGACCTGTGCCAAGATTACCATTTTCGGAAAATTTTTGTGCATTCACCATGACGCATCAATTGGTGAAGGTTTCGTGGCGATCGGCCTCGAAGGCGCTCGTGGCATGAAGCTGTTTGCAAACTGACTTGCGGTTTGAAGCTTTTAGGAATATATCACAGTAGAGAAATCCGTGACGCTTATTCAAATGCCAAAATAGAAGCAATCTCGTGGGGTTTTCATCACCATGATAGGTAAAGGTCACCGACCTAAAATAAGACACTTCGAGACTTTGCTGAAAACAGGTATCTAGGGTCAAGGCATCTGCTTGAGGAGAGCTGAGGCACTTTGGACACCAATCAAAAGGTAGACGTTGTTTCACTTTGTTAAACCCAAAGGCCATGGCCAAGGAACCCCAAATTTTGGCACAAGCGAGTTAATAAACAGGCCACTGACTAACCCACCCTGTGAGTCTGGTGTCTTAAGCTCACTAGTTTTGGAACTCTCAGGGAATCAAATTGACCCATGTGATCCCACGTGGACAAATCACGTGCTCGGCCCGCAGGGTCGGCCCGCAGTGCATTTAAGCGCCCGGCCCTGCGGACGGGGCACTTAAATGCAATCCAGGGGGCTTTGCGCGCTGATCAGGGTGCCCATGGGTCGCTCAGAGCCTATATGTCGATAAGACACCACCAATACGCACAGTCGGCTCCGTAGTGGCATGGCCTGAGGGCCCATCCCCCAGACAGGGACAAAGCAGGAGTCACCATTGATTTGCATTGGCCAGGGCCCCACATCGCCTTGAAGGGGGCTGTGTATTGGTACGGTGCCTGAGTCGGCCAGAGGCAGTGTTCAAGGTGGCCGGAAGAACCTGGAGGGCCCACCGAAACCGACGATACAGGCCCGAATAGAGGGCTTTGTGGTATATGACAGTTGTTTAGGGAGCCTACGCGCCAGGCAAGTGGCAGTCGCGCGAGAGTGTTGGCCTTGACAAGGTGGCGCGTGGCGGGGGCGTGACGTGTTTGGACGCCTCGGACGTTATATTATTGCTTTGTTGTTACTACCGAGGTATTGGGAAAATACTCACGGTAACACCTAACTTAGTGTTTGGTCGGGCTGTGAGAGCGGACGACACTACATTTGGCGGCGATAATGGGATGGACACGATGAGGAAGGACACGAAGGGCTAGTCGGGTCCTATTCGGGGGCACCGGCCTGCGGAACAGGTCCTCAAATGACAGTCGGAGGGGGCTTTGCGCTGATCGAGGACCCGTGAGTCGATATGGGCTTATATGCTGGTCAGGCACCACCAGTAACGTACAGTCAGCTCCGTGTCGGTATGGGCTGAGTGCCCACTTCCCAATCAGCCACAAAACCGGGCTTCTGAGCTCTGATGAACCGTTGTGAAATGGAGAGCGCCGGCGATTCATTTTGTGCAACTGTGTAACATATCGCTTCTTCAGTTTCTTGAGTGCAAAATTCGGTCAATTTATATCGTAGGGTCTTCTGGTTTCTGTTCGAGTTATGCAAGGAAACAATGACAGAATATCAATAGAAATAATGTCCTCATTTATAAGTGGACCATATCCGACGATTTTTGGGGGGAGCCTTTTCACGATCAGGGAGTCCTTTGTCAACCTTGCGCCTTTCTCCCACTTACCAAGGCTCTGGCTGCGCGCTTGGTCGGAACATGGCGAATCGGCAGCCGATTTTGTTGGTTTGGAAATTTTGGTGACCTTTGAGCAGGCCGATGGTTAGTTTCTTCAGGGGATAGGATATCAACCGCGGCGCGTCGATTGGTGCAGATTCTGTGGCGATCGGTGGCATAACGTCTGAGTATGGATTTTCAGCGAGCTTACTTTTCTAGATAGCGGCACTTTCGGCAATTTTTGACGTTCTCCAAGTTCACCATGTGCTGAAAAGCTGAGAACGCTTAATCACAGCCTATAACACAATGATTAGTGAAAACTGCACGACAATCAGTCCCATAGACCTGGAGAATAGGTCTGTTGATAGGTTTTGTCAGTCATTTAGATACCCCTCTCTGGAGACATTTCCAACGCTGTGTAAGTGATCTCTCCTCCTCGTGGTTGCGGTGAAGGTGGTTTGTACCGTCCCGGCCAGTTGTGAGGAAGATAGCAGGCGAGGGCGAGTGGGTGGCTCCGGCCGTGGTGGTAGGTGATAGTATAATGCCTCGATCATGGAGACACCGGTCGTGCGTGTCGTGAGAAGTGGGTTGGAGTGAGGCGGGTCAGGCCATTGCTGTAGGGGTCGCAGCTGTTAAAACTATTTGCCGGTTTCTTAGCAGGTTGTTGGGTTTCTTAATTGTTACTGATACTATTAGGTAACAGTTCGGGTTAAGCCATGAGCTGGTCTGGATCGAGCTTGGCATACAATTATGGGGCTCGGTTGAGGTGCCATGCGTCAACCTGTTGTAGTCCCTAAGTTTTTATTTAATTTCCCAGTAATTTCAAGTGTGCCAGTTGTGGTGCACATTGCACCTGCAAGCAGGATTGCATGTAGTCCTAGTAGTTTCTAGCTTCTTCCTAAAAAGAGATGCTTTTCTGGGAAAACACATAGTTTGAGGGAGGTTACTACATGCCTCTTGTGATGCCCAGGCTTTTCTTGGAAAACACATAGTTTGAGGGAGGTTTCTACTTGCCTCTTGTGATGCCCAGCTATAAGATAGCATTCCATTCTGTTTGTTTATGTCTGCAAACAAATTCATCTGTCATTGCTGATGTTAGTATAAAATCAGGCCCTATAGTGCCAGAAAGTGTTGTCTGATCTGCACACCTGAGTGAGTGTCAAATTCTGGGCAATGGTCTATTTGAGATTAAAATGCAATGACTATTTCCTATGATTACATCTGGGGATGGCACGATCATAAGATCCTTGGGTCTTCACTCAAGTGTGTTCCTCAAAGGTTATGCTGCAGTTTAATGCATGCCTTTAGTTTTTAGTTTGCAACTGCTGCTGCAGCTTTAGAGCACTTGGTCACAGCCCTCTAATTTGCAGGACCATGCAAGGATCAGAACAGTACTTTCCCCGAGGAGGGAAGATCAAAAGGAAAGCAAATGATCTGAATGCAGACAAGGCAAATGAGGACAAGCTCTTTGATGACCAGCCACCCAAAAAGGCCAAGAAACAAAAGAAAGCAAAGCAGAAAAAGGAAAAGGTATGTGATAAGAAAGGGACTGCTAGGGATGAAGATGAAATCACCCATGTTGACCCTCTGAGGCAGGATGATTTGGAGGCTGGCATGGTGCTGCTGGGCAGGATCCGAGAGGTGCAGGAGCTGCAGCTGCTGGTCAGCCTGCCCTGCCATCTGGTGGGTGCTGTGCCAGTTACACATATATCTAGTGTGTACAGCAAGCTGCTAGCTCAGCAGAATGGTGGTAGCTTGGCACCACCCCTGGCCAGTCTGTTCAATGCTGGCCAGTACATCAACTGTGCTGTGGTCAAGACAGATCAGTCAGGACACAAGGTGCGCAACACGCTGTCGGTCGAGCCGTCTGACGTGAACGGAGGTCTGCCGGCATCGGCGCTGGGCCGCGGCCTGACGCTGCAGTGCGCCGTCCGCAGCGACGAGGAACACGTGTACGACATGGATTGTGGCGTGGCTGGCGCGCGCGCCGTGCTGCCCAAGGCGTCGGCGGGCGGCGGCGCACCGCTGGTGGCCGGCCAGCTGCTCTGGTGTGTGGTGGACGCGGTGCGCGCGCAAGACGGCGTGCACACGGTGACGCTGAGCGCCGAGCCGGCGCGGCTGAACGCCGCCGAGCCGGCCGCAGAGTGCGCGCTCACACGGCAGACGCTGCTGCCCGGCCTCCGCCTGCCAGTCACCGTGCAGAAGGCGCTGCCGGGAGGCCTGCAGGTGGGCCTGCCCGGCCAGTTCAGCGGCCTCGTCTACAAGACGCAGCTGGACGAGCCGGCCGACTGCCCGGATGACTACAACGCCGGCGCGGTGGCCCATGCACGCGTGCTGTACACGCTGCCGGTGGTGCGGCGTGTTTACCTGAGCTTGCGGCCGGCCGTGGCACGGCTGCCGGCGCCGGCGCCCGACGCCGGCCTGCTGGCCGAGCAGCCCGGAACCCGGCTGCTGGCCCAGGTGCTCGACGCAGACGCGCAGGGCGTGCGTCTGCTGCTGGACGGCAGCAGTCAAGTGGCATTCGCGCCCATCTGGCACGCCACGCGCGGCGACTCCGGCCGCTGGCGGCGCGGCGAGACGGCGCGCTGCCTCCTGCTCGCCTACGACGCCATGGACGAGGTCTACATCGCCTCAATGAAGCGCCAGAAGGAAGCGCCGGTGGCGGCGTCCAGCTTAGCCGTCGGCCAGAAGGTCTCGTGTCGCGTGCTCGAGCTGGGCGAGCACGGCTGCAAAGTGGAACTGGACGGCGGCGCAGTCGGTTTCATCCCCATCCACCACCTCACCAATGTGCCCGTCCGCAACCTACAGGCCATGTTCCCGGACGGCAAGCGACTCAAGTGCCGCGTCGTGCAGGTGGAGCCGGCCGGCCGCCGGCTGGTGCTCACACACATAGCGCGCCTGGTGAGCGGAGAGCTGAGTCTGGCCAGCGAGCCGGCGTCGCTGCGGCGCGGCCAGCTGCACCACTGGATCGTTGCCAAGGTGACCGAGCGCGGCCTGGTGATGACCGGCTGCGCGGGCCTCAGCGGCTTCGTGCCGGTGCAGTTCCTGCGCGGCGCTGTCGAGGACCATTTCCCGGGCCAGATCGTGCAGTGTGAGGTGCACAAGGTGCGGCCGGCCGAGGGACCGACTGGCGAGCGGCGCGTCACGCTCAGTCCGCGGCGTGACGACGCCGACCGGACCTGGCGCGGTCGGCTGATGGCGGTGCGCGTGACGGGCCGCGCCGCCGGCCGCCTCCAGCTGGTCACCGCCGACGGCGAGCACGCCGAGGTGGCCGCCGCGCACCTGACCGACGTGCCCGAGCACGCCGACGCCGCGCTGGCCCGCTATAAGAACGGCGACGCCCTTGAGGTCGTCGGCCTGCACTCGTTTGGCAAGAAGGCGGTCGTGACCGCTAAGCCGCTGCTACTGGAGGCGGTTAAGAGCGGCGTATACCCGACGCGCCCCGAGGACCTGGTGCCCGGTCTGCTGCTGCCCTGCTGCGTGGTGCGCGCTGACGAACAGGGCGTGCTGGTGGCGTTCCCGTGCCAAATGCTGGACGCCGCGTACCGCATGCGGGCGCAGGCGCTCGGTGAAGGCTGGCAGGCAGACACCACTGGCCTGGCGGCGCTGCAGGACCGCACACTGGTAGCCGAGGTGGCGAGCCGGCCGGACCCCGAGACCGGCTTTGTGCGGCTGTCGGCGCGGCTGAGCGTGCGGCGCGACAAAGCTGGCGTACCTTACCTGCGCCGCTGTCTGCGCGAGCTAGCCGCCCTGGTGCCGGCGCGCCCGGCGCCCGGCGAGCGCGTCAGCGGCCGCGTGTTGGCCGTCGAGACGGCCGGCGCCGCTGTCTGCCTGCCGGACGGCCGGCGAGGCGCGCTGCCGGCCGCCGGTGCGCTGCGGCCCGGCGACGAGGTGGTCGCCACTGTCGTCCAGGTGACGCCGGCGGGCCAGCTCAGTCTGGTCACCGGCTGTGAGATCGTGCCGGCCGCGGGCCGCGCCGACCTGGCGCCGCGGCAGCGGTACTCGGCCCGCGTGTTGGCCGCCCCAGCCGGCGGCTACGTGTGGACGGCGCTGCTGCTGCCGCCGGCGCCGCCCTGCCTGGTCCATTTACCCGGCCGCCGCGGCATCAATGACGTGGCGAGCGGCGCGCCGCCGCCGGACGCGGGCGACGTGGTGCCGGTCGTCATCAAAAGCTGCGCCGGCCACGTCCTCGCCGTCCTCGCGGACCAGGCGGACGCCGGCAAAGCCAGCCGGCGCAAGGCCAAGGTCTCGAAGAAGCCGGCCAGGAAGGTGCGAGCCCGTGACAAGCACTGGAAGAAGAGGAGCCGTGCATCGCCCAGCTCTCGGCCGACGCCCAAGAAGCGGCAGAGTGCCACCTCTATCCGATACAGCCGGTTCACTCTCGAGGACGATAGCTAGCTGGTTCGGCTGTCCGGCTGGCGTGCGGTGCGGACGCAACCGACTGAACTGCACCATGAGAGAATAAAACGTGTTGTATGAAGAGGACTTTATTCATTCACGGGCGCGACTTTCGGGTACCTGCCGTAATTTCTAGTTCCGACACGTTTCTGGTGCTAACCCATAAAATAGTGATCCGGGATGTCCATGCTTACGTTAGAAAGTACTAGCAAGACGGCTTGCGCTTTGGGATGACCTGGCCAGTAGGTAACTAAAATTATTCCGAAACGTAAGCTATTGAAACCAAACGACTGTGGTAACGCGCAAATGGGCATGATCAGATGTAAGTAGAAGTATGACAAAACTGGACGCCTGTGTGCATAGCCACGCCCGGTGATCTCGGTCCATGGGAGAGAATTAATTTGTAGGTATGGTTTTGCCGACAGCGGCCAAAAATGGTGAACGCAAGTGTTTTGGACTGACAAATAACAATGTTTCCACTAATATATATATATATATATATATATATATATATATATATATATATATATATATATATATATATAACGTGCATGATGAAAACATCGGTTGAGCCGATGATCAGCGCTGGACGCCGTCCCGAAACCCGCCACCAGCTTCGCTGTATCCGAACCTGTTCGTCGGCTTGATGGATTACCACTAGTAAGGGACTTAGAAGCTTCGTGCATCCTGAAAACAGTCCTGCTCAGCGCATACTCGGGATGACCGACGCCAGCTGAGCCGGCGGCGCAGAGCAGCAGTGAACGTGGCTCCCGCTGCTGTCTGCCTTGTTTGCGGATGCGACTACGCGAAACAAAATATCTGCAAGTGAAACGTCCCCGGGGCTGCTTGTTTCTTTGAAACGGAATAAGCAACAAGAGTCAGGTGTTCAAAGGTATATTGGGCAAACACTACTGTACGGGCAATGCAGCGCACACAAGACCGAACTCAAAGGTAAGGGCTTCTGACCGGCCTCCCTAATCAAGGGTTGCCTTTCCGACGAACATGCAAGGTGAATAACTCGGCGTCGCCGGCGCACCCGGCACACGTTGGCTGCCCTGCGTAGTTTGCTGGTGTGTATGACGATGGTAAGTGGTGTGCGCCTTGGTCATGCGTTAGTCAGGCCAGATAGCATTCAAATAAAAGCAAAATATGTAAAAATAGAGTTTGGCAGTCAGACGGACACATGCGCGTGGGTTCTGACTAGACCTCTTCACGCGGAAATTCGCATAGTAGATTTGTAGATTAATGAATTCAGGGTTTTTCGTTAGCGTTCGTATTCGGAGCTCCTTGGAGTTGCATTGTCAGCAATGCCGTCTTAAAAGATCACAACACACTTGAACTCCTGTCTTTCTATAAAACACCAAGCACCGACTCACAGCTCCGTGCACAACTGGACCTGGCACCTGCAAAAGCCACCCCTAGTGGACAGCATGGACAACCCACGTCGCCATTCGCCGCCTATTGCACAGAACGCAGACGTCCAGCGCGGCGTGCGGACGCCGGATCACGATCCCCGCACACCCTCCGAGTCCCACGGTCGGCGCGAGGCTGCCACCCACGCGCCCGGCCATAGCACAGCCGGCGGGACACCTTCGGCACGGCCGGCCTCCAACTTTCGACACTTCCACCAGCGGCCTCAAGACACTGTACAGGATTCCCCAAAACCAACACGCAGAAGTACGCCATGTTACACCTTTTTGAGCGCAGCAGCGCTGCATCCGTCGTTTCACACCTACGGGTTCAAACGACCGATAAGGCACGAATAACACGTGAAGACACGCGCATCACAACTTTTGGCCGAGAAAGCTGCCTGACAAACCCAAAAACACATCCCTTTGGCATGCGGTCAGATCGCTTTGTAAAGCTTGCAAATCTGAAGAAGGCAGGCATGCGCGAGATGACCTTGATCCTTCGCAACAATGTCTCCAAATGAAGGAGAGTCAAACACGCTATCTGGCTGTCCCCGCACCGTTCTGACAGACCACGCCCACAGCGCGGTCCCAGCGCTGCCCTAACGGATCAGACCGTGGTCCCACGCATTGCTGTCCACTGGCAAGGCCCGGGTCCAGCGAGCGCGGGTCAGCCGCCAGATTTGAGGCCATTCAGCAGGCCTGACTGCGTTACAGGCCTCACTCCGGCTCCATCTGACGCCTTCCGCCGCCCCGGTGCGCTCCCTTCACCGCCAGCTCCGTCCTTCCTCTTTTCAAGCTCGCGGACCGGTCCGCTGGCTGGAGCCTAAGCCGGAGCTGGAGCCGGAGCCGGAGCCGGAGCCGGAGCCGGAGCCGGAGCCGGAGCCGGAGCCGGAGCCGGAGCCGGAGCCGGAGCCGGTGTTGGAGCCGGAGCCGGGGCTGGAGCCGGAGCGGTCAGTTTCGCTGACCCGTCTCCTTCGACTTGAGCGCCGCCGACACCACCGCCTCCATGATGGCTCCGCGCACACCAGACCGCTCCAGGAAGTACATGGCCTCGATCGTGCAGCCTGCCGCACAGACGCGGCGCCGGTCACACAAGCGTACTGTCGGCTGGCGCAGGCGCGCCGTCTCCCTACCCAGGACGGCTCCCAGCATACGGCGGACACGCCCCAACCCACATCGTTTGCAACTGTTTTATATATATATATATATATATATATATATATATATATATATATATATGCGCGGGAGAGTTGTGCAACATCACGCGATGAGCCAGGCCACTGACCAGGGAAGATCGGTTTGCCATATCGCCGCGACACGCCCGGGAAATATTCACTCCAGTCGGGCCCGGAACGGATCCATACCGATCAGGCCCGGGACGGATACACACCGATCAGGCCTGGAACGGATCCACACCGGTCCGACCCGGGACAGGACTCACTCCGGTCAGGCCCGGGACAGAACCACTTCGGTCAGGCCCGGGACCGATCCACACCGGTCAGACCCGGGACGGGTGCATTCCAGTCAGACCCGAGCCAGATTCATTCCGGTTGGACCCGGGACAGACTCACTCCAGTCGGGCCCGGGACGGATCCACACCGGTCAGACCCGGGAAGGGTGCATTCTAGTCAGACCCGGAACGGATTCACTCCGGTCAGACTCGGGAAAGACTCACTCCGGTCAGACCCGGGACAGATTCACTCCAGTCAGACCCGGGACGGATGCATTCCAGTCAGACCCGGAACAGATTCACTCAGGCCAGACTCGGGACAGACTCACTCCAGTCGGGCCCGGGACGGATCCACACCGGTCAGACCCGGGAAGGGTGCATTCTAGTCAGACCCGGGACAGATTCACTCCGGTCAGACCCGGGACAGATTCACTCCGGTCAGACCCGGGATAGATCCACTCCGGTCAGACCCGGGACGGATCCACCACGGTCCGCCTGCACCGAACACGCCAGCGAAGTGCCGACCGCCCGTCCACTGAACGTCACGCACCCAACCCGATCAACGGACATCCCCAGACAGGACTGGTCGCGGGGTCAGCGAAACGGCCTCCTGAGGCCGGGCGACCGGGGCCGCTGGAGCCCGTGAGCCAGCGCGGCCGACACACTGACCTGCCGGCGAACACACGTCGTCCTTGAGCGCGCCCGGGTGCTTGCCGGTCTGCAGCACCATTTGGGCGCCGCCGATGAGGGTGTGCGCCGCCAGCTTGTAGGCCAGCGGCCGCGGGATGCCCATCTTGACGCCGCCGTCGGCCAGGGCCTCGATCATCAGGTAGATGTAGGCGGGCCCGGAGGCGCTCAGGCCGGTCACGGCGTCGATCAGAACCTCAGCCACCTCCTCGCAGTATCCCACCGACGAGAAACAGCTGCAGACGCGGCCGCCGGCATCAACCGACCAGACGGAGATCTAGCTGCGGCGCGCACTGCCAAGAGTGGTGCTCCAAGAGCAGTTCATCTTGGACACATGTGCTCCAGGATCAACAACTAAACAACCACATCGAGAGAAAAACGGTGTGGAGGAAAAACAAAATGACGAATGAAAGAAGGAAAATGACATGAAACATGCCTTAGCATACCATGAGGAGTACAATAACGTTTTTCTGTCAAAGAACATTTTTATAAACAAAGAACAAAGAACATGTAATCTTCTATGTCAAAGAACAATAGATCTAAGACGCGACAGTTTAATCCCTGTGCTGCCAGCGCTGGGCTTCACTGCCGCCACCTGAACGTCAGAAAGCAAGCGTACGCCTGTGCCGTGGTCGGAACGCGTTCGCTGTCTTAACCGGGGTCGCACCGTTTGGCCAGCTGACCGTCGTCCTCGAGCGTGCTGGTGCCGCAGCTGTAGACGGTGCAGCCGGCCTTCACCAGTGACGGCGTGTTGGGCATCACGCGTATTACGCGTGTCTTGCGCGGCAACATCTGACGGTACGGGCAACAAAGCGTCGGACGGCGCGAGCGTCGAGAGAGCGAGAGCGAGAGCGAGAGCGAGAGCGAGAGCGAGAGCGAGAGCGAGAGCGAGAGCGAGAGCGAGAGCGAGAGCGAGAGCGAGAGCGAGAGCGAGAGCGAGAGCGAGAGCGAGAGCGAGAGCGAGAGCGAGAGAGAGAGAGAGAGAGAGAGAGAGAGAGAGAGAGAGAGAGAGAGAGAGAGAGAGAGAGAGAGAGAGAGAGAGAGAGAGAGAGAGAGAGAGAGAGAGAGAGAGAGAGAGAGAGAGAGAGAGCGTCAGTTGGTTACAAAATCGGTTCATACGCTCCGTTATATATTTCTCAATACGCACTACTACGTGAGTTAAAAAGGCAACGTAACACTAAGACGTTAGCTCGCCCGTTAGATAAATATCTGATAAATGTAAAGGATTTGCTGGTAGTATATCGGTAGCTTATACGAAGCCAAACGTCTTTTTGTTTAATCGGCTAACATGGATCATTTGAATCGGACCAACGTCAGACACAACGACCGTAAATGACATCAACACCGGCACGAGCCGAGACAACAGCGCCAGCCTGGCGCGGTGACGACCTGTCCACTGCCGCCGCGACAGACCTGCTCCAGGTTCCTGATAGGGATGCCAAGGGCGATGGACATCATGAGGTTGTGCGGCCGCACGGCCGGGTTGACCTCCTGCAGCACCTTGGGCACCACGGGCGGCTTGGTGGCGATGACCACCACGTCCGACTGCTCCACCACCTCCAGGTTGTCGTGCGTGGTGCGGCAGCCGGAGACGTCCTGTGTGCGGGACGCGGCCAGTCCGGTCAGGCGCGGCTGGTCCGGTCAGAGCGGCCCGTCCGGTCAGACGCGGCCCGTCCCGCGGCGCGCCCAGGCAGACGCCCTTAAGCGGGACCGACTGCGAAGCAGCGCAGGCCATACCCTCTCCGAATCCGGGCCGCGGCAGCCGCCGCACGCACAGACACCGTCCGAACACGGCCGCCAGCTTTCAGCAGAGTGGCGGTCAACAAACTAATCAACGCAACTCGCACTCAGATGTCACGCACTCAAACACTGTGGTATCATGAAGGCTACAGAAAATTAAGCCCACCTTTCACACAGGATACAGTAGCCACCCAAACAAATGGACCGTCGTTATCACGTCCGTGTGATGAGACCCGGGGCTGCCAACTGTTGAAACCTCCACCGCGGCCGGAGCCCCCATCACACAGGGTTCAGTACGGTAGCCACTCAGACAAATGGCCCTCGTTATCACGTCCGTGTGATGAGACCCGGGGCTGCCAACTGTTAAAACCTCCACCGCGGCCGGTGTCCACCGAACACGTCGCGCCGCCGAGTGAGATACGATCACGATCACGTGAGCGCCACGTGAGCCCCCAGTCAGTGATCACGTGACGCTGGGTGCGAGCCCGCCCCCATCTGGGTCCGAAGCACGGCGAGAGGATGGGTACGGGCGGTCGACAGCAAGCGATGGGTTTAACTGAATATTTTTGGGGCGCCCTGTCCTGAGGAATTAATAGCAAACTGCGCTCCAATGCTTACGATGGGCTATCCCATGATCGAGCACACAAAACGGCACACAAAACGATGTGCTTCATGTCGAGTATCGCGGTCGTAAAGGCCATATCACTAGGATGGGAGGACAAGATCGGCAACAGTCAGAAAATTTCGAGCCATTTTCTCGCAAGAATGCGGCGCTTTTACGAGCCTCCAGCACCCTCCGGCCCACGATGATGACATACAATTCAAGACCTCCAAGAACGCGGACTACTGTACGGGGTGGAAACGCGTCACGACGCCGTCCAAGGCGTTTTTGTTCACGTCTTGCGCGTTCTTCCCGGAGCCCGGGATAGCTGACAAGCCCAAACTTGCAAGAGTTACACTGGGGCCTCGCCTGTGTCCTGGTACCCGAAGCTACACATCCCCACGGCACTTAGAGCGCATGCAGTTTAAAAGCAGCGAAAGCAACAGATTAAACACGACCATGCAGGTGCTCGGTTCAGCGCGTCCCCAGAGAGCGCTGCGTGCTGTAATGTAACGTATCTAACACAAACCACCTGAAGCCACACAGCCACCACCAGAAATCAGAACGGCACATACCTTCTTCATGTCTTCCAAGAGGTAATTATCACTCTTTGGGCAGCTAGCTATGACATTCTCTGCCTTGGTTAAACCTAGATGGAACATGAACATGTCAGTGACGGGCAAAACAGGGGATCACCGAATATATTTTCAGTTTTAAGCAGGCATTAAATGAGCTAACATGAGGTACGGATGTGCAAAAGCAATACTTTGCGCTTAAAATGCACAAAACCCACTATAGTTCACTCACCATGATCACGCAACAATTGAGAAGTTTCTCTGAAAATGTAGATCTCAGAGTAACCCGAGTTGATGCTAAAATACTCAAAAGCACGTAAAAATATACTCAAAAAAGGCATGTATAAGAGCTATCCAACGACAATTTCTCACAGAAACGCCAGCATAAATGTATATTTATGCAAGGCTAAACGCGCGCTCGGGGGGGGGGTCAAATTGCCCCTGAAGGTTTCCCGGAACGGTTTCCGAACGGCAAGACGCATCCGCGCCAAATTTTGCACAGCTATAGAAAATTAAAAAGCGTATCGCTTTACATAAAAAATTTAGGCATACTTTGTAAGGTCGCTGACCTATTGGAGGTCAAAGGCAGGCCATGGTTTCAGCGGAGTCAATTTCCAGGGAATCGTTCAATCTGATCCAACAACGGAGTGTTAGACGAAGCCATACATATCTGAGATGCTTTCTTAGGCCACACAACAGCTGAATGAGCAAATTAAACTGACCTAAGGTCAGGCATGAAAGTAAGACCAAGGTCAAAACCAGCCTGTTTTATTACCCTAGGGCTTGCTGTATGATGTAGTTTCTGGTGCTCATTTCAAATTTATTGATAGCAAGGAACCGTATAATACATCTTCCACGGATTATTTAGAGGTCAGAATAGATCACCGACCTAAAATGACCCAGGTCAACATTTGTTTTTTTTTGGAAAATACTGCTTAGCGCAATCTTTGTCGCTTATTCAAATGCAAAACCCAGAGCAGCTTGTATGATTTTGGTTACCATAACCTTCAAAAGGTCAAACAAGGTCTCAATTTTTAAATGAGCATGTGAAATTTTGCACAGAAACGGTTACCTAGGTGCTGGGGGCACTTTGAAGACCAACCTGTAATTGGACCTTGTTTGACCTCATTTGACCCAAAGGTCATGACCTACGAACCTGAAACTTTGCCCGAAGTGAGTTCACGTACAGCTCAACACACCCTGTAAATTTCGTGACTCTGGCTCTCTTAGTTCCCCAGGTCTCAGGGGGGGGATTGACCTCCCCACCCGAGCGAAGGGTATCCAGCGGGCCGCCCGGGCGCGTGTTAATGCTCTTTATTACCATCGTGTCCGCAAGATCACGTAGTTTTGTACGATCAAAAGCGTCAGCAAATACAAAAAGAACATTGATAACTTATCATTTCGACGGGAACTAAAAAAACGCCCAATTTCTAAACGCCGTGGCTATTTCACACAAGGCATGAAACAGCAAAGCTCTGGGCCAAAAACTACGCATCCTTCATCTTTATCTTCACAGAGATAGCTGCCCCGGCGCCGTGTGGATACTGCTGCGAAACGGGAAAGGACAGCTGCTCTGACGCTGAACGGAGGCTGCAGCGGGCCGGCAAATGACAGCTGGTCTGGCGCCGTGTGGAGATTACAGTGGACCGTAGAAGGACATCTGCTCCGGCGCCGTGTGGAGACTACAGCGGACCGGGGAAGGACATCTGCTCCGGCGCCGTGTGGAGACTACAGTGGACCGTAGAAGGACATCTGCTCCGGCGCCGTGTGGAGACTACAGCAGGCCGCGGAATGACAGGTGCTCTGGCGCCGTGCATAGCTCGTCACTTGGGATAGACGCCATCCCCACCTTGGACCAGACGTGCGATTGTTCATGGATAGCTATTAGAGTACTCCACTGCATGACCGGATGTGTCCCGCACAGCGTGAGAACGGGTCTGGCCTGCGCTTCGAACCATGGCGGCGACGGTGAATGCACAATAAAGCATATGATAGCGATCGTAAACAGGGCGCATTACGGTGTATGTAACAGTTCTCCGTGCAGTCCTATGTGTAGATTGTGGTGCTGCAGTTAAATTTGTTATCATTCATGTGATGTACATCATGTAGGACCTCATGATAACATTGTCAACATCACCTCTTGGGATGATTTTGGGGGTGAAACTATACATTTTATACTTGTGGGAGTCATGGCAGCTCCAATCAACGGGAACAGCACCGACTTGATCACCCCCCTGACCACAGCACCCTTCAATATGATACGGACCCTGCCAGAATAGGCCGGGCTGGGGCTTGGTGAACACCTTAGGAAGCAGGTTGAACTCATCCCATCACAGATGGTAAATCAGATGGCAGGTTCTCTAACTGACTGAGTTCTTGGGATGGACAGCACAATTTGATGAGACTGGCTCAATGAACCACACATATGTTTGTCTTGGATCTGACAATGGTTCAGTTATCCCACATCCACTAAAAGGGCTTATGATATATATGTCAGCTGTCCATAACATTTAAACCATGCTGTACAAAAACTGTACCAACCCTGATTACACAAAAACATGCATAGAAAAAATTAAACACTGACTGGCTCAAATAAAAAATTAAATATGGACTGGCCTGCAATTCAATGATTATGTCTTTCCATTCACCTGATTGAACTGTTTCACACACACTAGAGAAGCTTACAAAACTGATAATCATGTCTCACATGAAACTACAATAAAACTAAATGTGTTGCTAAGCTGGCTATAATAACTGGTACACAGCTATATATCTTACAACAGTGTCAGGCCATACTTGAAAATACATATTGTGCCAAATAATACTGGTGTTGCAAAGGTATCCGGCAACACTATCAGTCACAAACAGAAAAAAACCTGTGAGCCCTAAGTTAGCAGCATAGTTGTTTTCCATTTCAGAGCCTACATAGCAATGTGCATCACAAATTTCAAGCACACAGACCCATGTGCATTATCAATTATGGAGCCTACAGGGAGAAGCTCGCAAATATTTATTGTCACTAAGATAATGTGAAGCCAAACTGCCTCCCCAAAACATCACAAGCAGATTAATTTCATAATTCAGTGCACTAGGTATAGTACGTATCTGCTCCAGGTTCAGTTCACTGATGTCACAGATGTCACATAAGCATCCAGCAATAGACAACTTTGCTTACTGACTTCTGGTGGTACTTGCCTCACAATAAGTAGCTACCAAAGCAATAACATTTTACTGATAGAACTGCAGCAGCCAAGGAAAAACTTGTTGAGGCTTAGCATAAACATCAATTCATGAATTCTTACCTGCGGCAACAAATCCCTTGGCAAGGGCTTGTGCCATTTTTCCTGCACCAAGAAATCCAACCTTCATTTCGCCGAGTGAAGCTTGGACCAACAAGCAATCTTTCGATAAAAATACCGACTTAGACTAACTTTCTGTGCTTTCTCAATTCTCGTCACTTATTGAATACAAACTGCTTCAAAGCCAAAGTAGATGATGGCTCACAAGCGCACAAAAAGCGATGCACACGTGTCCACATCACCGAAAGATATACACCGGTGCACTTCGAGGCCAGGTACAAGTACTCGCACGTGTTTATCGCGATTCCCATCTAACTCCCGCCCCGGGTAACACCGGCGGCCCCAATGGAAATTTCCACTGTGGAAATTTTCCAAAACAAATGACCCCGGTGCGCCACATGAAGTTGTCCAGCGACTGCTTCCAGTTGATGCCAGCTAAAAACCTTTACAAAGAGGAGAAGAGTTTGGGAATGTTGGAAACTCCGTCAGCTATTTATCTTTATAGAAAAGTTTGGGGCTGGTAGCCACTTCGGCCATGATATTCATTGCGCACCCGATGGTAATTCTGACTTTCTCCCTTTTAAACTAAAGATGTTGAAAGATACATTTGATGCGACAGCGACAGGCACAGCGACCATCCATATATCGAGGATTGTGTTGCTACAAAACCGATATCAGGCATCATTCTTGCATCTCTTTTCACGAGTTACGGTTCCAAATTTTCTGCGATGACGCCAGTCAGTAATACAGATAGAAGTGGAACATGGAACTAATGTGTCCCCGCTCATTCCTAGGCTCTGAGGGGCCCTTCGGGCCTCTCGGGACCTTCTCCAATTAAGGGTCCGATTTGAAGATCCAAATCGCCCGAAAGCCGGTCGGTGGATTCAGGGCCCCTGCTCACAGGGCCGGGCACTCTGCCACCTAGACAGCCCTGCGCGCTAATCGGGGACCTTCTGAGTCGATAAGGGCCCATATGTCGTTCGGACACCATCAGAAACACAGTCGGCTCCGTGTTGGCAGGGGCCTGAGGGCCTATTTCCCAAGCAGCATAGGCTTAGGAATGTTTCGAAAAGTGGAGGGGCCAAACTCATCGCGTACTTCAGGAATTGTTTTCTGGAAAGCAAGCCCGATGATCGGTGGAGGAGGTAGAGATGGAGGTTGTTGTCGCTCTTAAATGTTATGCCTGGCAGGGGCCGATTCAGGATTTCGTCGAGGGGGGGGGGGGGGGGTACGTGACATTGTGGGGCCACCTGGAATTTGGGCCCCTCCAAAAAAAGGATTTCTGCATTTTGCTCATTACATTTTAAGACAAGTTGCATATGATGTATATACATAATATATATATATATATATATATATATATATATATATATACATACATATATATATATATATATATATATGTTAATATACTCATTCATCTAATAATTATGAAAACCCATCTTACTGTGCACCGCCCTATAAAGCCAGGCGTGCCACGCATGCACACGCATAGAGTTCACCCATTTTCTACAGGTCATATTAAATTCCGTGATTTTCATGTTAAGTGTTTCCGAACAACAGGCAAAATAAACTTGATTTAGCTGCTAAGAACCATCAAGACCAAGCATAGACTTCATTCCGAGCCTATGTATTTACGGCTAGCTGGGTGGACGATTCAATCAACCGATAGCTGATGACTGATGCAGAATTGTTCCTTTGTTATAAAGGAGTACAACATATCCTAGCACTCAAAATATTCAAGAAAATGATGCACTAGCATAATAAATGTCACACACTCAATAGCCAATGGACGTGACATATACGACGCGGACGGCATGTACAATTACGTTCGGCAATTGGGCGTAAAAAATTCATCGGCGCATATTCGACTGCTTCTCTATGTCGAAGGCACCAAGGCCAATAGGGACGGAACCTGAGCGATCATGGGTGCTGTAAGCCAACAGAGTGGCTCCTGTCAGCAAGAATAGGGCCCTCACAGCAAGCAAGAAGAACCCAAGACTAACGTGATGGCCCCTTAAACGATCGGTAGTGTCCCGGCAGGCTGCCATGTAAGGCCCCGACCAGAGCCCAGGGCCCTCTGAGCAAAAGGGAATTATCCAAGACCATAAATCAATACCCCTGTGCGATCAAGAGCACACGGGCAGGTTAACAACACAAGCCTCGATAGGAGTGAAGGGTTCTCCGCGAATGAGACCTAAGGGAGAGAGCCTTCGATCAAAGTAGAGGTCCGCTGAGCATTGAGTGTTTCCGTGTCTTACCTTATAACGGCCCTAGTGTCACCGTCGGCGGAAAAAGGGCTTTGAGACATTTGTATTTTCTCTTACATACTTGCTGTTTTCAAAGCTGTTCCTACTATCGCCGTTGACGAAACAGGCGGCTTCCAGCGGCGCACATCAAACTTCGCGCCACTCGCCATGTCATCTGACCCCGAAGCAAAAGGGTTCATTTAACTACACTAACGGCCGCGCAGCGAGGCGGCGCCACTTGACGGCAGTCCTTGTCGCTGCACCATCTATCGTTCTGTTCGGACGCCATCTACAGAGCGCGCAGACGCAACCGTTGTGCACGCAGCATCCTCCCCCGGTGTTCCCCGCGCACACCTCTGTTGAGGGGGCACTCCAGTTAGCAAACGCAACAATACATCTTCGAACACAGCAAACACCTCTGCATCATTTCCTGTGTAAGGAGTCTCGCCCTTGCTCAAGACCATGTTCACTGCGACACGTTCGCAACACAGCCATGGTCCCGAACAGAAGCCCTAGTCGACCTACGCGCAGCGACGGCCGCAGACCCGGCGAGATACCGGGAACCGCGCTGGCCATTCCGTGCCCCAACGGGCGACAGCAGCCGGCGATCGCTGGAAAGGTAGAGCTCAAAGACGCCCGCAAGTGCCCACCGTATGTACTCGGCTGTAGGATAGCACGCAGTCCATCATGACCCGTCGGGACCGGACCCGCCAGCGCTGATGCACCCCCCAAATCGACATCAGTCGTTGGAAGATCAGCGCTGTAATCTGAGGTCGCCAGAACACGTAGGCTTATCCGTCCCTGCGAGGGGGCACGAAGCCGACCACGACCTGCCAAGGGTCGGACCGGACGTCATCGGCGATGTCTCGATCCGTTGCAGCGTGTTCATTCGCCACGAATGTTGAAATCGTCATCAGATGGAAAGGTTTAACAAAGAAAGGAAACAAAGGATAACCAGTCATGAATGGTTGGCTGGAAAGCCACAATCAATGCAAGCACATCTAAGTAGCATTTCAACTCGTTCAATGATTTATACAGCATGCCTTTACTCAGCCTCCTCCAAGAGGCATACTTTGGTGACAGGGCGCTGGTAAGTGCCCCCCCCCCCCCCGCTGACCTCAACCCCACAGAAAGAACGATATCGTCCGCCCCCGGGAACGCTCTCTTGACCCGAGCCAATGGCCAAAATCCTCGTGGGAAATCTGCTTCCATCATCAATAAAATGTCTCCCACTCGAAGGTTTCTGATGTCCTGGAGCCACCTCTGAAGATGCATCAGTGTAGGCACGTATTCTCGTCTCCACCTTTTCCAGAAGTGGTCTGCCAGGACTTGGGCTTGACGCCAGCAGCGTCTGCTGTTGATCTCCTTGGGCTGGAAAACTCCTGGTGACATGTTGACGCTAGCACATCCGAGCAGGAGGTGATTCGGCGTCAGCGACTCGATATCAGTGGCGTCAGACCTGACGTATGTAAGAAGTCGTCCGTTCACCATGGACTCCACTTCTCTGCATGCTGCTGCTTTCTGTGGTTGGCGCGGTAGGTTTTTCTCCAGAGACCCAAGTCGGTTGATTGCCACTGTCTTGTTGTTCGGCAAGGTGACGTCGTCACTCTTCCATAAAAGTCCCGTCTCGTATCTATTGTCCAGTCTTCGCGTGGTGCTTTCCATGATTTGAGCTGCTCTGATGTTGTCTTGTGATCTGACGTCTGCATCACCGAACTTGCTCTCAAATGATTCTGTGCTTCACCACTCTTGGAGCATTGCTGACATCTCATCACTAGCTGTCATCTTGCTGAAGAACATCATTTAGTGCCTTCTCTCTGGTACGAAGCTGTTTAAAGAAACCAGTTAGGATCCATCCAAAAGCGGTTCTGATGCACGCCGGTTGACCGCTTTGCATTTTCTTACTTCCGACTGAAGAACAGCTTTGATCACATCGGCAACGAGTAGAAGCTGCACTTTCTTCCCTGCACGGTCTGATGGATCGAGGTCCTGAAGGTGCTTCCATTCGGGCTTCTTGTTCTGGAGTCGAGGGACTGTGACGTTGATATCTTTCACCGAGAAGACCTCGGGAACTATAATCCTGGTACCATCGTCCCATGATGTCTCAAGCTCCAGCTCCAGTTTCGTCGAGCTGTGTCCAGAACCATGTCCTTCAACAGTTTGCAACCGAAGTCTTTGCTGGTCTCGACGAAGATCAAGCTGTGTCATCACATTCTCTGACACCAGGGATGCCTGAGAGCCAGGGTCAAGTAAAGCACGAACTTTCACGGACTTACCGTGACTGCCGATGATGGTGGCCGGTACGGCCTGCAGAAGAGTTGTTACAGCATCGCTCTCCAGTGAGGCTGCGGGCACCATACGATTGCCTTCAGGTTTTGGACACAAAATCTCACGGTTGGCCCGGAGGGCCACCCTTCTGCTTTCATGTAACACATCTTGGTGCCTCATCTTGCAGCCATCGATACCACATGACCTTGTGGGGTGCCAATTGTGAACACTATGTCCCTTCTTCAGGCAGAAAAAGCAGCAGCCAGAACTGGCAGTGAAATGGGCTCTGTCGTCGACCGTCATCCGCAGGAAGGCAGGACACACTCTTACTTCATGCTGCCCGTTGCAGCTTGCACAGATCTTGCCATCGGTCATAGCCTCCGTGACCAGAGTAGTTCGCACGACTGCCTTCTTCTCACCCTGCCACGGCTGCATGTGCCTCATAGGCTTCTTCTCAGTTACCGCCTTTTTTGGCTCTTCAGACACGGCCACGTGTCTGCAGTTGAGCGCTACCCTCATCTGTTTGCGCAACCAGGCGTCAAAATGCATAAGACTAGGTATATCCAAGTTCAAGATGTGCTTCCACCAGACTCGCTTCAACTCTGACGGAAGCTTCTCCACCACACGCCTAGGGTTTTTGTGGCTAGTCTGGAGATGGAGATATAGAGCTAGTCTGGAGATACCATGGAGATCACCATGGTAAGCCAGGTTTTGAAAAACGGTGACTGCGCATTGGACAGTGGCATGAAGACAATCGATCCTCACTGGATCGAGATAGGCTGGTGCGGGACAGGCGAATATGTCTCGCAGGTTGGCA